CATTGCCTGCCGAGGGACGACCGCTGTTAACAAAAAAACTTTTTCTATATATTTTTTGCGATGTTGCTTTGACCAGGGCTTGAACCCAGATGTTGCGGAGTGGAAGCGCGCACTGCTTACCACTACACCACAGCGGCCGCCACATACCGGTGAGAAAAAAAAAACAAGCTGACAAGCTGGCACGCTCTTATGTAAGTATGGCACTCAGTACTAAAATCATACATACCAACTACGAGTACATATGTATACTTGAAAATAGATAATTGCGTCTCGGTCAAGCTGTTTATAGAACTTTACTTTCTGTCTGCAACTCAAACTGACCGCCGTGCTTATTCATACAAAAATTAATTACGCGGATCCCCGGTGACTTTTCTATGGAACCCTTGGGTTCCGCGGAACACACTTTTAGAAGGTCTGGTGTATATGCATACAAAGACACGCAATAGTTTCAGTGCGTTTGAAAGGCGCCACACCCCCCTTTCAAATAGCCCCAATTTTCTCTAAGAGTATGGGATTGATTTCATATATCTCCATACCATGTTCGAGTACTCTACCATGAACACTTCCAGAGTATGAAAAATTCGGTTTATATGGGAGGTGCCACGCCCCTTTTTCCAATAGACCCAATATTTTTTTCATGAAAATGCGACTGATTTTATATGTCTTGTACATACCAAGTTCCGGCACTCTACCATGAACACTTCCAGAGAGTATGCGATTGCTTTCATATATCTCCATACCATGTTCGAGTCCTCTTCCATGAACATTTTCCGGGAAATGCAGTACGAAAAAATCGGTTTGTATGGGAGGTCCTACGCCCCCTTTTCCAATAACCGCAATTTTTCTCCATAACTATGCGATTGTTTTCATATGTCTCCATACCATGTTCGAGTACTCTACCACGAAAAATTGGATTTGTATGGGAGGTGCCACGCCGCCTTTTCCAATAACCACAGTTTGTCTCCATGAGTATGCGATTGTTTTCGTATATCGCCATACCATGTTCGAGTCCAACTGTTTGCCAAATATCTTTAAAAACTCGTTGATTATTGGCATAGGCCGAATTTCACCAATTATCTTCGGCGATTTTCTGTACTCCGTATACGCTATAAAAAGTTGTATCCACTGGGTATCTAAAGGGATATCAAGTGATTGAATTGATGGACGTAAAGGCGGGTTTATATATCAGATATTTTTCTTTGAAAGGTTGTTAAAATATTTCAAATGGCACTAGAGGAACCATTCAAATGCATACTACATAACTAATGTATGTGTTTACAGAATATGGCATTTTGTATACACGAAGATTAAAAAGAAGCAACTTATTGTTGGTCATACATATTTCCAGTATATAGGAAGATCTCACAGTCTTTAACCGCAACTGGAAGAAATTAATGGCAAACCCGCAGCGCGAAGATTTTCTCCATTTAACCGTGAGGCTTATTTTTACCTTACTTATTTATGTACATATATATACTTCATAATAAATATGTGTATGCAAATGAGTGATGTATAAAAATTCTACGTCGGAGTTTTATTTTCTGCTACGATTTTTCACATCATTTAACCGAAGGCTTTATTAAAACTACAAGCTATGGGAATTTTTTGCAAAAAGACTTACTTACTGCCGTCAAACGCCGTTTTCTTAAATGGTAGGAAAGAATCCATTTTGATAGATTTGTGATCCAGCTCTTGGTAGGACAGAATGTTCTCTATCGAAAAAATTTACTCATGTTTTTTTTATTTTGCAACTAAAAAAAATTTAGAGTTGGCTCAAAGTTTTCCATTTATTTTGTATGGAAAAAACCATTTTTCGTAGAAATAATATTAAAATACATGTAAAACTTTGAGCGCTTGGAGCAAACTCTAAATATTGTTTTGATAAAAAAAAAAACAGGGGTATATTTTTTTCGGCATAGAACAATCCTAGGTTAGCCTAATTTACATACTTATGTATGATATGAAACACTTTGTTTACTTACAAAGTTTTGCGATTTAATTGATTTTCACGACCTCTGCATTCGCCCGACGCTTCCACACTCTGGCATACGAATGTCAGTTGCCACCTTACTCGCATAGCCAATTAATTGCAGAGTTACCAGTTTGCTAACAGTCCCTTCCAGAAAGGTAATCGACCCCGATTACGTCGTATGCAGAATCGTTAAAACTTGATAGCGAGTTTTTATAAAAAGCTGGATTTTTTTACTTGAAAATAGTTGGCAGCACTGCTGGTATGTATACAAGAATGATAGAATACAAGGTTGCGTGACGTCATCTCGGTGCAATTGCGAGAGAGAAATGCCAAAAAGCATTGTAAAATATGTGCTGAAGCCAAAAGCGTTCAATAGTTGGGAACCACTGGTAAGTGTTCGCTGCAAAGCTACACCGCTGCGGGAAAACTACCGGTGGGCTTCTTTCGAACTTCAAGATTATTTAATGCGATGTTCGGTTTGAACTGCGGTTCTTTTTGAGGACAGCAGCCAGACCGACAGCAGCATTGAGTCAGCGATCACTATTTAAGGTAATCTCAACAATACATATCTTGTGAACATCTATTCCTTTTGTACTACTTTGCTTATGTACATCGTATTTGAATAAGGCATATAACTTCGTATATGCGCTTGCAATAAACCATTTTACATATATACCTGTTCAAATACAAGTGTTTATATTTCTTTTTTTCCTTGTGTTACATTGTCGTGAGTTCGCACCGGCGTTCGTTGGTTTTGCTTCTCAGCTAAACATTTTGGTCCTCCTGAGCCGTCGAACTCCCACGATACATAACAGCGGAAGTACATACATCAATACCTAACTCTAACCCGAATTTCAGCAGAGAAGGAAGAAAAAAAACAGCAAATCATTTTAAAAACAAAAGCCCGATCGAGGAGTAAAAGTCCGAGGAAACCACGAACAAGTCAACTCAGCTATATTAAACGAAATACATACAGACTAGGGATGCCAATCCCGAGATCCCGGTGTTTTTGACGTCCCGGAAATCCCGGGATTTGTTTGCATTAATCCCGGGATCCCGAAAATTTTGAAATATCGAATTGATAGTAAGAATTTGTTTATGAATTTTGAAGTATGATTTTTGTAAAATGCCGTTTTGACTGCAATTAACAAAAAGCTTGAAACTGTACTTTTAAATTGCAGTCTGAGCCTTTTTTGAAGAAGATTTCAATGAATTTACTCAAAGCTTCGCTAATGTAAACGAAACAG